TATATATTCATTCACCCAAACCAGTTGGTGTATTCATATACCCAACAGACCCCAGTTGCACATGTATCATGTCTTCTGCGGGAGCTGCATTAGTTGCTGATTTGTTTCCAGGTGCAATGCAAGCTGCTGGTTGTCACCTTTAAAGCCCTTCATGGCTTGGGATCAGGTTATCTGAGGGACCATCTCTTGCCAGTCACATCTACCCGGCCCATCAGAGCAGGGAGACAGGGAATGTTGCGGGTCCCATCCCCGAGGGGGATACACCTGATGGGACCCAGAAGGGCTTTCTCTGTGGTGGCTCCCTCTCTCTGGAACATCATTCCCTCAAAGATTAGAATGGCCCCCACTCTTCCAGAAGGCACTGAAGAACTGGTTCTGCCAGCGGGCCTGGGAAACCCAGAGCGGGATGGAGCCCATCAAATAGCTTGTGTGATCTGCTGTCATCGGGTGGGAGTTGGTGGGTTATTTTTTTTCCAGATTTTGTTCTACTGTACTTTATTAATTTATTTAATTCTTTTTGTTAGTTTTTATTGTTTTAAATGTGGCTTTATATTCTGTAAGTTGCCTCGAGTCACCATGAGCGGCAATATAAATTCAATAAATAAATAAATAAATCTTTTTAATTCTTTAGTCCTTTAAGTCATAATCACTCTTTTTATACTATCCTACTATATATTTTGCAGTTATACTTCCTATAGGCACAGTATTAAACATTTTCATTGTATACAGCCTTGTGTTTAGAATCTTAAACTTATGTTATCATTATCATGATACTATAGTTTTTGCTAACAATTAAAATTTTAGCCAATATAGCATATGGGTTGCAGGTTGCCTGCAATTTGGCAATTCAAATCTCATCAGGCTCAAGGTTGACTCAGCTTTCCATCCTCCCAAGGTGGGTAAAATGAGGACGCAAATTGTTGGGGCAATATACTGACTCTGTAAATTGCTTAGAGAGGGCTGTGAAGCACTGTAATGCTGTATATAAGTCTAAGTGTTATTGCTATATGCTATTGAAATACACTAATATATCAGTGTGACAATCATAATTCTATTTGTCAAACCTGTTTTTCTGTTCAATTATTGAAATAAAGACATTTGGCAAACACTGTTCAAAAAAATAAAGGGAACAGAAAAATAAGACATCCTAGATCTGAATGAACGAAATATTCTTATTAAATACTTTGTTCATTACATAGTTGAATGTGCTGACAACAAAATCACACAAAAATTATCCATGGAAATCAAATTTAGCAACCCATGGAGGTCTGGATTTGGAGTTACACTCAAAATTAAAGTGGAAAAAAATACTACAGGCTGATCCAACTTTGATGTATTGTCCTTAAAACAAGTCAAAATGAGGATCAGTAGTGTGTGTGGCCTCCACGTGCCTGTATGACCTCCCTACAATGCCTGGGCATGCTCCTGATGAGGTGGCGGATGGTCTCCTGAGGGATCTCCTCCCACACCTGGACTAAAGCATCCCCCAACTCCTGGACAGTCTGGGGTGCAATGTGGCATTGGTGGATGGAGCAAGACATGATGTCCCAGATGTGCTCAATTGGATTCAGGTCTGGGGAACAGGCTGGCCAGTCCATAGCATCTATGCCTTCGTCTTTCAGGAACTGCTAACACACTCCAGCCACATGAGGTCTAGCATTGTCGTGCATTAGGAGGAACCCAGGGCCAACCGCACCAGCATATGGTCTCACAAGGGGTCTGAAGATCTCATCATGGTACCTAATGGCAGTCAGGCTACCTCTGGTGAGCACATGGAGGGCTGTGCGGCCCCCAAAAGAAATGCCACCCCACACCATTACTGACCCACTGCCAAACCGGTCATGCTGGAGGATGTTGCAGGCAGCAGAACATTCTCACATGTGCTGAGTGTGAACTTGCTTTCATCTGTGAAGAGCACAGGGTGCCAGTGGTGAATTTGCCAATCTTGGTGTTCTCTGGCAAATGCCAAACATCCTGCATGGTGTTGGGCTGTAAGCACAGCCCCCACCTGTGGACATCAGGCCCTCATACCACCCTCATGGAGTCTGTTTCTGACCGTTTGAGCAGCTACATGCACATTTGTGGCCCTCTGGAAGTCATTTTTCAGGGCTCTGGCAGTGCTCCTCCTGTCCCTCCTTGCACAAAGGCGGAGGTAACAGTCCTGATGCTGGGTTGTTGCCCTCCTACGGCCTCCTCCATGTCTCCTAATGTACTGGCCTGTCTCCTGGTAGCGCCTCCATGCTCTGGACACTACGCTGACAGACACAGCAAACCTTCTTGCCACAGCTCACATTGATGTACCATCCTGGATGAACTGCACTACCTGAGCCACTTGTGTGGGTTGTAGACTCCATCTCATGCTACCACTAGAGTGAAAGCACCGCCAGCATTCAAAAGTGACCAAACCATCAGCCAGAAAGCATAGGAACTGAAAAGTGGTCTGTGGTCACCACCTGCAGAACCACTCCTTTATTGGGGATGTCTTGCTAACTGCCTATGCTTTCCACCTGATGTCTATTCCATTTGCACAACAGCATGTGAAATTGATTGTCAATCAGTGTTGCTACCTAAGTGGACAGTTTGATTTCACAGAAGTGTGATTGACTTGGAGTTACATTGTGTTGTTTAAGTGTTCCCTTTATTTTTTTGAGCAGTGTATATTGCAAATCTACAAATATAGGCTTGGAATTCTGATCATTCTCTCATTTTCTTGAAGAAAAAAAATCATTTATAATTTTAAGAATAGTGAAAATAAGCATAAAATATATGATGAGACTCTGAATTATATCTGTCACTATCATTCCCATTGGGCATACTAAATACACAATGGGAAATGATTAATATGTGCACATATTTATGAATAATATAAACTGATTTTTGTGACATTGCATAGGATTATATAGAATATATAGATATTATATATATATTATATAGATCAGGGGTCCCCATACTTGGCAATTTTAAGACTTACGGACTTCATCTCCCAGAATTCTGGGAGTTGAAATCCACAAGTCTTAAAGTTGCCAAGTGTGGAGACCTCTGATATAGATTCTAGATAAATTACTTTTGTTTTTTAATTGCTGCTTATTCAAAAGCAAGAAAGAATAGCGTTTAATAGTTCAAGAATGACTAAAGCTTTGTAGGAAAATATTTGACTAATTAAAAATATATGATAAACCAAAATATAAGTCAGAGTTGGCAAAAATGGGTGGAAATTTAAATTAGTGGAGTCTACTATAAAATGCTTATTTTCTCTTCTAACCAGGCAGTTCAAGTAACCGATCAAGTACCCGAAGTCTATTGAGTATCAGTAGTGGAATGGAGGGTGACAATGAGGTAAACTTTAGTTGTGCAATCTTTCTTTCTTCCTTCCTTCCTTCCTTCCTTCCTTCCTTCCTTCCTTCCTTCCTT